AGGAACATTCCTGGTATTGTATAGTGACATTTCAAATCAGTAGACAAAGGATGACCCAACTACTCAAAAGTAGCATTAGGACAATATACATACTGGAAAAAGAGAATAGTTAGATCACCACCACATATCATACATATATTAAAATAACCTTAGCTCAGTAACATAACCAACCTAAATCTCAATGACTTAACCAAATACTTATTTGTTGCCCATGTAAAGCTCAACAGGTGGTGGGATCAGGTTGAGGGGACCTGCTCCATGCAATCATGCAAGGACCCTGGCTGGCGGAAACTTTGTCTTCAAAAGCTATCTTGCAAGGGAACCCAGGATGTCAACATCCTGCTGGAAAACAAGGGAAGAAATGTGGAAGATTGCCTGGAACATTTTGTGGGGAGGTGATCATGTAATCATTTTACCTACATTCCATTGGTCAGCATTTGCCTAAATGCAAGAAGCTGGGAAATGTAAGTTAGCCAAGTACCTGAGGGAAAGAAGAAATAGACGAAGTGAGCGCTCTGCTAGTGTCTAATACAGTATGTCTTTCTGGTTACCAAGTATCCTACCGCAACTAGAGCACACTTCCTCCCTCCCCAAGTGAGACAACCCCAAATTCCATCCAGTTACTGCAACCAGCTTCAAGTCCAAGATCTCTGAATGATGACACGGTTCATATATGGATATAGCTTCTTGATATTCAGTGATATTTGCACAAACAACACAAGTTATAGAAATCTCCCTACTGCCACCTGGCCCAACATACTATGGTCAAGCAAGGATAAATTTGTACTAAAAACTGCATCTGGGAAAGGGTACATCAGAGGCATACAGAAGGCACTGGTCTATTGTAGTTATGATAAACTTCTGGCAGGAATTATGAGGTCCTTTTAAACTGGCAGTAAGAATATATCCTTGATTTCAACTTTGCTATCTGGGAGGAACTACTTACTCAAAGTTCTTCATAGCTCTGGATCTACTCTTTAGCAGGTTTTTTGTCAATAGCACAGTTGAAATAAATGATGGGGACTGACCCTCCTCGAAGACCTTTAAAGTATACAACCCATTTCCTCCCTGAGCAAGTTTGGGAGCCCCCAAATACTTCTAATGACAGAGCATCCAAAAGCTGCTAAAGAAAAGACTTGCATTTTTTTTGGGGGGGGGATTATAAATAAGCAAACTATCTTTTTGAGAGAAAAGTATCTGTTCAGCTACATATGCTAGTAGCATCTCCCAAAGTTCCTTCCTAAATAAAATTCTCAAGGTTGACTTACTTTTTCCACCCTTTGCCCCCTGTCTTAAAGCAGTAATATTTAGGAGGAAATACCACAATTTTATTCAGATCTGTGCTGGAGCCAGAAGAAGTCTTAATGGATCTTTGTGCATAACCTCTTATCATTTGCGACTAGAAGCAATGGTTTTTATCCTTTTTACCTTTTTCTTTTTTTTTTTTTTTGTACTTGCAAGGTAACAAATTCTTGTCACATCCCATCTCTTTTCTTCTATCACCTTGATAAATGCAGGTAGTAAAAGTCAACACTCACTACCAACATTACATTTTCTAGCCTTTCCTTAGAGCTATGGGGTCAAGGGCATGTGGTTCACATTCCAAGTAACTGCAAGTAATCTTTTTTTTTTTTAAGATTTTATTTATTTAATTGAGAGAGAGAGAATGAGAGATAGAGAGCACGAGAGGGAGGAGGGTCAGAGGGAGAAGCAGACTCCCTGCTGAGCAGGGAGCCCGATGTGGGACTTGATCCCAGAACTCCAGGATCATGACCTGAGCCGAAGGCAGTTGCTTAACCAACTGAGCCACCCAGGCGCCCTGCAAGTAATCTTTTAAAAAACTGTTTCATCACTGTTTTACACAAATCTCATTTTCTAATACTGGGTATTAGTTTTCATCTTGATTGACTGCTGGACCAATGAATGCCATGTACTTTGGATTTATTTTTACAGCAGCATCCTCTTTTCACCACCAATTTCTGAATCAGAATAACAGTACCTGTCTATCAAAAAAAAAATCCCTAATTTTCATTGTTTAACGCAACAGGTGTTTGTTTTGATAACTTAAATCCAGTTGGCTTAAGTGGAGGAATAAGTAGATGACTATGATTCTCATTTACTTAGGTTCCCAGGCTGATGGTTGTTGCTACATCTTAGGAGGGGGGGATCTTCTAATGTCTTGCTGGGAATTGACATCCAGCAGAGCGATTCAAGAAGAGTGGAGGGTAGAAGAGGATATTATGGGCTAGACCTGGAAGCGGTTGACACAATTTTGACCCACATTCCACTAAGCAATTCTTAAGTCACAGGACCCCAATCTAACTTCAAGAGGTGCTGAGAAATAGATTGTGTACTAATTGATTTCATTAGGTATGCCAATCTGTCAGAATATATAGGGTTAAGTTCCAAACAGATTAAGAAGTAAATATAACATAAGCCTAAAAAAAGTAATAGAAGAAGAGGAGAACTCTTTATGTATGTCAAGGACTTTGCAGGGTATGGGGGTTTCATGGGACTACACTGGGCACTCAGGAGATGGGGGACAGAGCAGAGATAAAGTTTTCACTGATGGTACACACCTGAAAGGAGCTGTTACTGCTTAGACACAAATACCCACGAGGACTCTTGTTCCCTACTGAAAAAAAGTCTATCACTGTAGGTCACCAAACACTGTCAAGAGGGCACAGGTAAAAACTTACTGTGGCTTGGGGAAGGGTAAATGGAACAAAATAAAACAAAACAAAAATTGGATCCCTGGGGAGGGTAAGGAAGCTATCCTGTGCCCAGACTGAGATAGATCTCCTGACTTGGGGCAGGGCAAGAAAATGTTCCAAACAAGATTCATCAAAGATGCAGTGAAGAGTTTAGCTGCCACAAAGGAGAGTGACAGAATCACAGGATCCACCCGCAGTCCTTTAAGTATGAAAACCACAAAAGATTTTGAACATGAAGAACTCAAAGAATTCTTTCCATGAGTCCTTTTTTGAGGACTCTACTACAGAATAAACCTCATCCAAACAAAAAATGACTGGGACAGTTTTAACAATTCGGCTTTAATATATACTTCTTTGAAAATCAAAATGAAAACTAAGGTGCATCAAGGGTAGAATAATGTTAGATAGCATGCTCTATGTTGTGTGTTCCATGTTTCAATGAAGTAAAAATAATGCAACTAAAAGTGGGAGGAGAATAAACTCAATGAAATGAGAGAAGTAGAATAAACTCATTAAATGTAATTTAGGTGAGGGGTGACTGTGTGGCTCAGTCGGTTGAACGTCCAACTCTTGGTTTTGGCTCAGGTCGTGATCTCATGGGTTGTGGGATGGAGCCCTGAGTTGGGCTCTGAGACCAGTGGGGAGTCTGCTTGAAGATACTCTCCCTCTGCCCCTCCCCCAACTTGTGTGCACACACACACTCTCTAATAATCTTTTAAAAAATATAAGTTAGGTGTAAGAGAATGTCATTAAAAATGGACAATATAGATTGCAAATAAAAAAAGTAGGGACAATGGGCATTAAAAATGGTATAACAACGAGAACAGAAATATTAACCTTCCTATGCACCAAATTTAATTAAAAAAAAAAGACAGCAAATATAGTTTGAAGAGAAATAGTAAATATAATAAATACAATAATTACATAAGATAATCTGATAGAACTGAAAGCAAACATATTCACCTTATCAACAAATGTGCAAGGGCTGACTCTGCCTATTAAATGGAAAGATTTTCAGCTTGGCTCATAAAGACCTAACCATATGCTCTATTCAAGAAACATACCTAGAACAGACTGATTCAGAAAGGTTAAAAAGAAAGGGATGGTCAAATGTATTCCAGGCAAATAGGTACACTAAAAAAGCAGGGACAGCAATACTGATGTTAGATCAAGTAGAAAGGAAACAATAGTAGGGAAAGGTTTTCAGACTATAATTTCAAATTCATATACAAAAATGAAATAAAAAGAAAGAGAAAAAGAAACTGAAGCATCTGACTATATAGAATAAGCGACAGAAAAACATGATAAAAAAGACAACTGACAAATTGGGGAAACGATATTTGTAATACACCGATAAAGGGCTAGTATATGTAATATATAAATAAATCTTAAAAATTATGGGAAAAAGTAAAAAACAAAAAAAAAACAACTCACTGGTGGAAAAATGGGCAAGACATGAAAAAATTCACAAAAATAGATATAAAAAATGCACTTAATAATTTTTAATGAGTATTCTATTATACCCATAATAAGGAAAATGCATAGTAAAACTACATCGAGGTAACATTTCTCACCTATCCAACGGACAGAATTAAAAATGTAGAACACCTTAGTCTATTGGAGAGTTTGTGGGAAAACAGGACTCTCTCTTGTGTTGCTGGTGTTAAGCACAATCTTCATGGTGGAAAATTTGGCAGTAAATAAAACTACAAATGTACTCACCTTCTGACTTAATGTTTCTACCCTAGGAACTTACCCCAAAGACCTAACTCCAATAATATGAAAGCACATTTTCTTTGCAATATTTTTTGTAACTACAAGATATGGAAAATAACTTGTATGCCCAGACACAGATGAGTGGCTGAATAAATTGACGGGTCTACCTAATGAGGTACTAGAAAGTTATTTTTGTTGTTGTTTCTTTGTTTTAAATAAGGAAAACCCTTATAGACATATGTGCAGTGAGTCCAGGATATATTTTTAAATGAAAAAAGAAAAGGTGTTTTTTTTTGAGAGAGAGAGAGAGAGAGCACAGTAGGGGTGGGGTGCCAAGGGAGAGGGAGAAAGAATCTTAAGCAGGCTCTGGGCTCAGTGTGGAGCCTGATGCAGGGCTCCAATCCCATGATTCTGAGATCATGACCTGAGCTGAAATCAAGAGTCAGACACTCAACCAACTGAGCCACCCAGGAGCCTTGAAAAAAAGTAAAATTTATAAAATCACCTAGGAATGTTAATTTTTGCATTAAGAGCAGAAAATAAATAAATACATATACATATATATAAATATAAAAATATATATATTACACATTTATTCACCTGTGCAAACACAGAAAGCATATACCAGGGACTAATGAGATGGATTATCTATAGGGGATGGGTGGGAATGGGGTAAAAAGAAAAGAAACAATTGGAAGCAGGAGAGCAGGAGTTGCCACCTCTCAAAGTATATCATTTTGTGTAGCTCTGACTTATGGAACAATGTTCATGTTTCACACACATAAAAAAAAAAATAAAATCACCAAGGATGGAGGAAAATTCCTCTAAGTAAAACACATCAAAAATGTGAATTAAAGTGCATTTCAAATGAAGTACTCTACATGGAAGGCAGTGAAAATGCACTAACCCAGGTCACTTTTTATTATTACTCTAAAAATTGAGATATAATTCACATACCGTAACATTCACGTTTTTAAAGTACATAATTCAGTGGATTTTTGTACATTCACAAAGTTCTGCCACTACTACCACCATCCAATTCCAGAACACATTATCAATCCAAAAAAGAAAGCCATCCATACCCATTAGCAGTCACTCACTGTCCCTCCCTCCCCTAGACCTTAGCAATCACTAGTTTACTAATTGGTCTCTATGGATTTACCTATTGTGGGTATTTCCTAGAAGTTGAACCGTATTTTGTGTTTGGCTTCTTCTTAACCTAATGCTTTCAAAGTTCATTCATGTCATAGTACATATCAGTACTTCATGCCTTTTTAGGCCTGAATAATATTCCATTGTATGCATATATCAGTTTTGCTTATCCAGTCACCAACTGATGGGTATTTGGCTTGTTTCTTCTTTTCAGCTCTTATGTATACGCTACTATGAACATTCATGATCAAGTTTCCGTTGGAACATGTTTTCAATTCTTTTAGGGTCTGTGGCTACTAGTGAAAATGCAGTTCATATGGGGCTCTCACCATGCCTGTTGGTACACTTGACGGTATCCCATGAGTCTTTGAGGATCTCCGTTCATTATCATTCATGTTTTTTTTTTCCTCCTATTCCTAGAACTGGATAATCTCAATTGATCTATCTTTAGTTTCACCAAGTCTTTCTTCTACCCGCTCCCATCTGCTGTTGACCACGTACGTTGAATTTTTTCCTATCAGTTATGGTACTTTTCAATTCCTAAATTTCTTTTTGTCTCTTCCTTATAATTTCTATTTCATTACTGATATTCTCTATATGGTGAGGCACTGTTATCAGACTTTCTTTTAGTTCTTTAAACTTTGCTTCTGTTAGTTCTTTGCACATATTCTCAAAATAGCTTATTTAATGTCTTTGTTGAGTAAATCCAAAGTCTGGACCTCTTTGGGGACAGTTTGTTTTTCTTCTTCCCTGTATATGGGGCATAGTTTGTTTCTGCATATGTCTTAGCATTTTATTGAAAACTGGTCATTTTAAGTAATATATTACAATGGTGAAAATCTAAAAAGCAGATACTCCCCCCTCCCTAGGGCTTGTTATTGTTTTTTGTTGTTGTTTAGTGGACTTTTTTGAACTTGTGAAGTCTATATTCTTTGTTGAGTGTGGCCATTAAAGTTTCTGCTTCATTAGTTTAGTGGTACACTAAAAACTAGACGGACTTCCTTGCTTGGAATACTACTGTGATTTTGCTAAGAGACTGTGTGTGTGTGAGTGTGTGTGAGTGTGTGTGTGTGTGTGTGTGTGCTGGGGCACACCTTCAACACAGCCAGGAAGTTGACAATTCCACCTGAGCCTTCATTTCCTGCCTGAGCAGAACCTCAAGGTCAGCTAGAAGGGTCAGTTTAGGGCCTTCTCAGCTCTTCCCTGAATATACACACAGCACTACGCAAGCAGCACATGACTTGCTTAATTCCAAGAAATACGTCAGAACTCCTCGAAGTCCCTAGAGATACTGAATTCTCCAGATTTCCTTTTAAGCTTTTTGACAAATTTGTTTGCCTCAACTGTTACTCACTGCCTCAAGCAACTGTGATCACAGTTAAACAATCACCTCTGAGTGTTTCTGAAAAGTGGTATCAGGAAAAAGGCTTTCGCACTGAGCAAATTCTTAGTCAAGTGGGGTCTTCCAGTGAACTACCGTATTTGTCAAATAACGACAATTCTCAGTGAATATATCGTTGAAGAAGCTCCAACCCTGTTCTGTTTCTCCTAGTGGCTGCCAGGCTGCTGGTTTTCACTGTGATTGTTGGCTGTTGGTTTTCAAAACTATCATGGATCTGAGGAGTGAAAGATGCAAATAGGGAAAGTTAAAATGTCACAAAGATTACTGTTCCTATCAAGATTCATCCATTTTTCTTGAAAAATACTCCCTGGATTGTAGTAAACCTGTGGTTAACTCCATAGTTCTAAAAAAGTTGATTCTGGTAACATAGACAGTTTTCTCAGTGCTTTTCATGGGGAAAATAATTTCTGTACATCTTTACTCCATCATTTTTGCTGACACCATCCCAGGCAACTTTCAAACTTAGTTTTGAGACCATAGGTCTTCAAGCAAAAGAAAAAAGAACTCTAGACATACTGAACTTCGGCTAGTAGACTTTTATTTTGCGGAGGCATCAGTTAGCAACTCTGAAACTGTATTCTAGGGTTTTGTGGATAATGGGAACCATCTTTCTTATTGTTAGATGGGAAAAGGACACAAGACACAGCCTGAGTAGGCTCCCACTGGCCAAATTAAGGACAATTTGAACATGAAAATAAATAATGGATTTCTACTTCTGTAGTAACAGGAATCAGATTTGCCATTCTACATTAAAGAACTAGAACACTGGAAAAAATATGACTTAGGTTTTCAGACAATGGACAAAAAGCAGTACAGCATAGTAATACCTGAGAGTGAAAACAAACCAGCTGAGTGCTTTAGCTCATTGCATGAAGTTTCCAAACTACACTACACAGGGGGAAGGAATTCCAGATAACTCAGTGGCCTTCCTGGAGACAGAATTCAGGGTTTGCATAGGCTACGGTGACTAGAATTTGTGACGCAAAATACAAAACAGGATGAGATGAACAGAAAGAAGTGCTCTGGAGATCTTTGGAATGATCCCCTAAAATCTACGGCATAAGACTAATCTGTGCAATGTGTATGAGGAATCTACCAAGGCCAGGGAAAAAATTCACTAGAAAGGAGTTTGTGAAGCAACTTAACACTGGGTCAGGTATAGTTTTTGTTCTCATCTCACCAGATGTAAAAGAAAGATTTGCTAGTAGAAAAACCATTAGGCAGAGTGCTTAGAATGGTAATGTCTCTGGAGCCAAATGAGCCCTAGGCCGGGCTTTCTCAATCTCAGCACTGTTGACACTTCGCACTTGATAATTCTTTGTTGTATATGATGTAGAATGTTTAGTAGCGTCCCTGGCCTAGATCCATTATTAGATGTGACACAAAAATGTCTGCAGACATTGCCGAATGTTCCCTAAAGGTAAAACTGCCCCAAATGGAGAACCACTGCAGACAAGATCATTAAAACAGCTATTAATATTCCATATGTTCAAGGAAGTAGAGGAAAAACCTGAACATGATAAGGCATATGTAATATTACAACAAAAACAAGGGCAGAGAGGGGGGAAAAGAGAAGAGCAGGAGGAAGAAGAGGAGGAGGAGGAGAGGAGGGGTAGAAGGATGAGAGCGAAGGATAAAGCTAATGCAATAAAGTGTTATCGACTGGAGAACCTGGGTGAAGGATATTGTGTGGCAAAGAACTTGGCTTTGCCCGAGAATTGCCTTGCCTTTGGTTTCTTGGAGGCATCTAGGTAATACCTGATACAGGTATGTTTGTTTAGGGCAGCAGTTAGCTACACTAAAAAAAACAAACCATGGAACTGAGGATGGGGAATTTGGGGTCATGTGGTATCAGTCATCTGGAACAATCATTTGGGCAATCAACTGCTTATGCTTATATATTGCAGACACAACAAAAAATCTACACACCAAAGCTTCAGTGAGCTTCTGAGACTGGCAATACTCTATGCACATTGATGCCAGGACGGTAATGTGTCCTGAGGACAACAGAAGCTTTGTGTTAGAACCCTAACAGACATGGTCCTGTGCATCTCTTCCTCTGACAGGTTTTAATTTGTACCCTTTCCCTGTAATAAACAATGACTGTCAGTAGGTTCCATGTGTGTATATAAATAGGTTTCAGTAAGTTCTGGGAGATTTTCTAGCAAATTTTTGAACCTGAGGGTGTTTGGGGAACCCACCCAACTCCATCTCCAAACCTGCAGCTGGTGTCAGAAGTGACAGTGGTCTTGTGGGAGCTCTTCCCTCTAACTCTGTAGCTGGACCCTAACTTCTTGTGGTAGGGTAAGAAGTCTTGGCCAGACTTGGTAGCCTGGAGGACACTGCTCTCAACCTCGCAGTTTGGCTAAATCTGGGTAGCCATGGAGACATTTTTCTTTCACTTTTCCTGTAATAATTTTTCATAATTAAAATTTCATTGAAATTAATTTTAATTTTGCGTAATTGACATGTCCAAATAAAAATTTAAAAGACAAAAGGAGAAAAAACAAATTTTGCTTTCAACATAGCAAAAATAATTTTTTCTGTATAATCTCTTGAATTCCATTGCTTTAGTTATCTAAATTCTTAAGCTCTTGAAAATGATAGAAATGACTCTCCAGAGCTTATGAATTCCTGCAAACCAGGGGGCCTTCCCTGCCATTAACAGGAAGATGGAATTTAGTTATCTTTACTTAGTTAACCAAGAATCTTTAATTTCTTCCAGAGAAGCGAAAGTGAAACATTTGAAAGGATTTTTAAAATCCTGTTTTCCTTTGAAATTAACAGTACTCCACAGAGTAGTTCCTTCGAGTCATCTTATCACTGCACTCAGTTATCTGGAAATGCTTCTTCAATCACACCTCCTTCAGAGTTTATCCTTTTGAATTCTAATCCACAATTCCACAAAAAAATGTTTCCATAAAAGAGCATGGTCAAGTAACTACATGTTAAACATTCTTGATTTAAATAAATATTTCTATGCAGTGAGATATATAACAAATTATTGGTTGTGGTGCTACATTTAAACATGTATGTTGCCTAAAGAATAGGTATAATTCAGAAATGAAAAACTGCCCTTGAATCTATTTTAAAACAAAAACTAGATCACAAATGATTAAAAATATAATAAAAATTAATATTTGTTAATTTATTATCTCTATACCCATATAAAAGTTACTATCTTAGTTTTGCTAAGAATAACTTTTAGCAAAGGTGATCTCTTTTAAATAACTATAATTTCCTCATATTTTCCATTATTATTTTAATGTATCTTCTCAAAATTTATTTTCAAAGCAAGACAGAGTTAAACCTGTGAAATACCCTTCATAAGCACAAATGAGGAAGTCTGAGACAGTTATTTCAAAATTTTTTCACAGAGGGAACAGCGTGGGTATATTATTTAAAATCAATTTAAGTATGTACTTGATTTGTGGTAGGCTTATGTAAACATAACTTTAATAATGGACTGGTTCACAAAAAGAGGTACTATACTAATCAATCATCAAACGTAATTTTTTTCCCCTGAAACACAGCAATTTTAGATTGCTGCTCTTTTCGCCTCTTGCTTGCTTCCCACGAAGGATGAAGAGGCAGCTGTGATTGCTGTTTTGTACTTTGAAGTCCTCTTTGTGCACTCTTATTAAACAGATTCTTGAGCTGAGGTTCATTTTGCTGAAAACCTGGGAGGAGAAAGCAAAAATAGTGAGAAATAACCATATACCTACATAACGTATAAGAGAAAGAGATTTCATTTTCTCACATCAGTATTTAAGGAAGGAATTTAGTTTTACTTAAACAGAATACGTTACAGTTTAAAATCTAAGTCCAACAGGGAACAGTGTGAAATTGAAATATACACATCAACAGGCAATTCTGGGACACATGCTTTCTAATCTTTTATCTTTTTTTTCTAATCTTTTAAACAGATGCAAATTGTTTTGTCTCCTAATATATGTTGTGCTGTCTTATTTACATTGGCAATAAGAAAGGAAAGAATGCAGACAACATGGAAAGCCAAAAGAATCCCAAAAGAGCATCTTCTATTTTCAAAGGAATATCATTGGTTTAAGATAACTGTATATGGAGCCGATGTAGCCAGAAAATTCACAGGAATTTACTAAGTTATTGGATTTGACAACGTTGATGGGAGAGATGTATTTTTAAAGGGCTACTAATTGATTCTACTCCCTTCTATTACTGAACATAAAATTATTATAAAATAAATTACTGAATTTACTCAAATATAAGACAAGGTTCTTTTCCAATCATAAAATTATCCACCAGATAAAAGGGTGGCAAATTGTTGCTAGACCTTACAGCCTCTTATAAGATACTTTAAACTATGTTATTCTGAACAATAAGGTAGTGTTTGGGAGAGACACACCAGCCAGAAAACACATGAATCAATGCATGTTTATGGAATCAGGGGGAAAACAAAGGGAGACAAAAATTTAACACAGATTTTTTTTTTTTTTGAAGTAGTCTTAGAGATGCGTACCTTCTCTACTATGAGTTAGACATTTCACTGTCAAAAGCCTTTTAAAGATCTTCTTAAAAAGCAAATGTCATAACGTTACACAAACAAATGCACAGAGTTTGGGCTAACATTTCCGAAATATTACTGTACAAAGAATGCAACACGTCCTGAATCTTGTACAAATCACACGTGGTCTAAAAACCCAATATAATACTCAGGATGGCTCTAGTAATGAAGAACCAAGAATTTAAATGTTAAATTAAACTGTTACATATAAAACTGATTTAAATAAGGCAGTATTTAAAATAATATATACTTTATATAACCATGGAAAATAAATTGATATCTGTAAACAAACTGATATACTAAATACTATAAATATATAAGCTAAGCAAAAAACAAAAACGCTTTCATCACTTGGGTCTCCTCCCAGGGAAAATGTGGGAGTGCCTCAAGTTTACAGTTCTCCTGCTTATGAATATAAGGTCAGTGAGGCAGATTGCCATGTGTCTGCCAGACCTAGTTTTCTTTTCCGGCTAGGTGCACAAGCTGGATGCATTGCCCATCCTGACTACAGTTAGATGAGGCATATAACTGAGTTATAGCCAATGGCATTAAGAACAAATGGCCTGACCATAAACATCTCACACTTGATCCTTTCACCCTCTCTCTCTGCCCACAGGGAGCACAGCGAACTCGTAGAGGCACAAGAAGGAAGAAGAGTACAAGCAGCGCAGAGGCGGTGATGAACGAGAAATGAATCAGCACGATGTGGCAGTTGTTACAGCAGGCGGTCTACTACAAACACCACGGTGGTACTCGGAAGGAGGATACAGCCATTAAAACAGCAGACAAATTTGGCAGTGGCTTTGCAGTTTAGTGGTAGGTAGTAAGGAAGTGGACGCCTTAGTTTGCAAAGTACGCGTGCTTCTTATGCCAAGGAAGCGGGTAAAACTGTGGCCAGTTGAGAACTTGGGAAGCAGGCTACGGGCCTATGGAGTTTGCAGCACCAGGGTAAGTGGGTGGAAAGAATAAAAAAATTAGCGTACTGATGGCTCTTTGGCAATGGACTACAAAACAGGAAAAGAACTTGCCAGCTCACAGGCAGAAACTAAAGGGAACAGAGTGTCCAGATATTTGAGAACTAAGGTTTAGAAAAGCCTCTGGACTTCAAACGGTAAGACACAAGACTAAGAAACATTTTAAGCAGGAAAGGTCTATGGAGATTCAGCCCCGGAGCAGAGTTACGAGTCAAGTATGGTCTTCTCAACCAGACCTGAGAATCTTAACACAGCAGACACTGAATGATGGTGGGGGTGGGAAAAAATACCCTCAAACATAAAGAAGGCAAGTTTGAGAACTAGCTCTAGGGGGAAAATTGTTGGTATGGTGACTAGCTCATGGATGGACTAAATGGAAATGGATGGACTAAATGGAAACCAAGAAGTCAGAAATCCACTACATTTCTGAGAGACCTCTGTTGTGGAAGAAATCCTGTGTCTGGGCTGAAAAACTCTCTCTTGAATGTTAAAGACTTTGAACTGTCTTCAGGACCATGTGTTTTTACCAGTCACTTGGGGCAACTCCCAAGGAAATTAATGTCCACTTCAGATGTGGCCAGAACTCAAGTGAGAAAACATGAAGAACAATGGATAAAAAAGTTCCTCTAGATAGACATGTTATGTGCCTCCCAATTTTCCCTTAATGGACTGGGAGTTTGTATTATGGTTACCTTGTCCCTGATCTGCCACTAAATATTTGGTTTGAGCTGGGGACAGGCAGTCTGTCTTTCAGTGCCCAGGCCATCAAATTTTGAGCAGTCACATCCATGAGACCGGATGGAAAGAAAGGACCGCATCACTGGTGGATGATACTGGGCTTTGAGCTTGGATGCAGAGACTGGGTGGGGCTCTGAGCTGGCTTCCTTGGGAAGGAGATAAAGTGTGCTCTGTGTGGGGGAGGGACAGTGAAATGAGTGCCTGGTGAGAGAAAGGATAGTCACTGGCAGAGAGTTACATGTTTAAGAAATTCTACTTCCTTTTTCCTTTTAACCACACAGTTAGATTGAATTTCTTAGCTCCCCTGTGGCTAGATGGCGTCATATAATTGAATCCTGGCTAATGAAATGTGAGAACTGATTCCTGCCACTTTCAGATCTGGCCCATGAAAACTTCCTGCAAAACTGTCCATGTACTCTTCCTTTCTGGAGGAGTATCTGGAAACTGCAGGAGGAAGGAACCAAAAGATGAAAGGTGCCTGATTCCTGAATTACTATATGAAACACAGCCCCTCTGCCATCTCACAGTGGACTGTGATGTGCTTGAAAAATATATTTTTATTATTTTAAGCCAGTTAGAGTTTGGAATTATGTACAGAAGTCAGCCTACCCAAATATATGTAACTTGATTTGTTATGAATTAATGTGAAAATACTTTGATTTTACTCTGAACCTAGAAAGTGACATACTAGTTACTGAATGTTTAATGGCATGATGCCGACTAAGATATAACTTAAAGTTATACTTAAGATTTGAAGAATGTACTAGTTTATTCAGTTCAAAAAAAACAAATAGACCCAGTATTTCCTGTTAAGTTTTGCTTGTATCTTTCATCCTGGTAGCGATAGGTAAAAACAAACAAACAAAATTTAAAAATTATCCTGATAATTGAAAGATCTTCTTGTCCCCTTCCTGTGGGTACATATTTCATTCAGGCTATTAAATAACCAGAACTTTTCATTCTTCTACTCTGGCAAAGCATTAGTCAATTTCATATCAAGGTCAGGTAGCCATTAATACATACCTGGGGTTTTGCTTTTTGGAGCCTGTTCTCTGTAATTTCTAAAAGAAGAAAAAGACCATTAGGACTTAAAAAAGATAACTGACCTTAAGAAGGTAACGTTAAAAAAAAACTAGGGATAAAACTCACTCAAAGGATGAAGGGGGGGGAAATCAGAGGGGGAGACGAACCATGAGAGACTATGGACTCTGAAAAACAAACTGAGGGTTCTAGAGGGGAGGGGGGTGGGAGGATGGGTTAGCCTGGTGATGGGTATTAAAGAGGGCACGTTCTGCGTGGAGCACTGGGTGTTATATGCAAACAATGATCCATGGAACACTACATCCAAAACTAATAACGTAATGTATGGTGATTAACATCACATAATAAAAAAAAAGAGGCAAAAAAAAAAAAAACCCACTCAAAGGACTATTGTACTCCCTCATCCCACCAGCAATCAACAAAAAAATGATAAAACCCCTAGTTTTAGCTGTATCAAAGTTTGTGAGACTCCCAATGATACTGCAGAAACATGGGAGTTTCCCTCTTACCCCCCCCCACAGGGACTTCTGGTTGTAAAATATCCTATTTTGGTTACTTGTGTCTACTCTTGAGGACTATCCAGATAAAGAATTTCAAAAGTCTTCTTAAAGGCGGAATGAGTCACATATTACACAAAACCATTTTGTGGGAGATGGAAAGCATAATAGTGTATTATTCTCAAGTGAGGAAAAAAAATGGAGCCTTCTGGAGCAAGTTTGGGAGATATAAAAAATATTTTAATTAATTTCAAGGTCTCAAATATGGTTTGTGTCTTTTCCATACTCCTACTTCTTTGGAAAATGTTTACATCATGTGTTTCTATTCTATTAAAAATTATCCCTGACTTATATATAAATAGAAAACAGTTTCCTGAAGAAGGTAGCTATTACTGAAGAAATTAGCTAACCATGATATTTATCCTAAAATGTGAAGTTATTCCCTCTCAGATTAGAATTACAAATGAAATGAAACTTATTGATGTGTAACAGAAGAGCTGTGAAAGGTGGTGGTTAACAGCAGGGACACAGACAGCAATATTATCTGATATAAAGGAATCTGGAGGAACTCGGAGTTAGAGCAAACAGCTGTATATACTGAAATAGCAATGCACAAGAAAATGACTGAGGTTTACAATATGGCCCTCGGTTATTAAGAAAAGAAAAAAAAAACACCACCATTCTTTTCAGAAAGTTCTGTTTAAAGAGTAAGACATGAGACATTTTGATAAGGTTTTCACCAAAAGCGAACTCAAAGTCTGGAAACTTTGACAATTGAAGGGATAAACTGAAATTAGCTAGACAAATTATTTGGCTACAGGATTGATGTGGCACTGTTGTCTGTGTATTTTCATATATTATCCGAGTATAAGGTTGGAAAGGGCCAAGTCTAAGCACAGGATGTGCTGTATAAACTACATGTACATATGGGAGAGATTCTCTTCTGTCATTGCTAGGATGTGCAGATATTTCACATCTTCAAAAAAATTAAGAATAATTACTTCAGGATAGAAAAAATTACTCTTACCTTCTAGAGCTTTTAGATCCAGATAAAGAATGGAAAAACACTGACTCAAACTTCCTTGATTCTGTACTTGGCTTGTTTATGTCATTTCTTATACTCTGATGGGTTTCAAGTAGATCTTCCTGAGGTAACACTTTTTTGGGGGGCATCTGTTCCTTAATCAAAGAATGGCAAGTACTTTCCTTCTTTCGTGTCCGTCTGACTTTCCCAATGAAGAAGTCATCCCCACTGTCACTATCCTCAGACATGGAGGACTGTTTGTAAAACCTTTCCTCTGTGCTATCATCAAAATACTCCTTTTCTTCTTGTGATTCTTCTCCATCACTGTTACCATCAAGGGAGCTACTGGACTCTTTCTCTTTTTTGGTTTTACTTAAGGTTTTCATTTTTGGGTCAGCAGGTGTCTTCTGGGGCTCAGAAGAAACTACATCAGCCTTTTCAGAAGGCTTTGATGGAGAATTTGGAATGTCTACAGCATTGGGTCCATGTTCCACCTTGGTTCTTTTTTCTTTTGAATTTACTGGTTTCTTTGCCAATATTTTGGCTTCTTTCTCTTTTTGCTCACTGATAATAGTTCCTTCATGCTGTAACTTATTGGCATCATCATTTGAACACAAAGTGTCCTTGGAATGATTTTCTTCTGAAGCATTCTCTGATGATTTAACTTCAACAACATTTTGTCTTGCATCTTTAAAGGCTCTGACAGCAGCTACAACAGAAAAGCACATGATCTGTTTCATCATTAAAACAAATATATAAAACATCACTTCAGTACAGTATTTCTTAAATTATTTGGAAACACTTAAGAGAACAACCACAATTATGTTAAGTATGTATCACGGGTCACAACTTCACTGACTTTAAAAACCAAACTCGGAAGAAATGGTTAGAAGTATTCAATTTAAAACTCTTAAAATTAACCATCCTTTCAGGCCCTGGAGCTATTAAAAATAGCAAAAACATCACTGAATACAAATAAATAAAATAAAATGGCAACTTTAATTTCTTTAGCAATAATGTATTGATATGATTGTGGTGCACTATAAACTGTGTTTTCAGACATAAAAATAAATATATTATAATCTGTGACAGTAACATTTAATTCTTTAAGCACAGTTTATAATATACACATAAATGAAAATTATGTGACTAAGTAGCAACATCAAAAGTGATACTATGAATTACACCAATATTTAGCAAATCAATTGTATTCAGTATTACCATGAATACATTATATAGAAACATAAATGTATTCATATATTAGAATTTAGGAAAAAATACAGATTTAATTAGACATCAGATAACTTTCAAATTTTCAGGTACCTTCCCACATTTAAAATATATGAAGGAGATATTTATAAAAGGTCCTCAAAACAAATAAACAAAAACCCCAAAGAAATAAGTGAAAAGCCATTTATTCAAAATCTTATACATAAGTGCACTTAAGTACATGGCTTAAAAGTCATTTAATACATACCTTTCAGCACATCTATTTTTTTCTTCAGAAGCGGATGCATCGCTAGTCTGGCAACTGCTCTTTCAGTTGCAGTAGAATCAGGCTGCAAATTGAAACAACAAACATGGGAATGAATAAGAAAAATATAGTACTATTAAGAAGTGAATAAAAGAAAATGTAATTTTTAAATAATTTTTAAAAATGAGAGTTAGGAAACAGGAATTTGTTAGTATTCTCTAGATAAGTCACCTGGATAATCTATAATAAAGAAAAATAAAACTCAAGATGACAAAATACAACCGCCCCCGAAACAAATAAAATTATTATGTAATCAACTAACAAATCCCTTTGGGGACTTAATATCTTACCAGAACTCTGGGAGGCATCCTGTGTGTTATTAAAAAAATGCAATATAGCTTCTGCTTTCAAAGAGGTTAAAAGATCTAGATCTAGATCTTTTTAAAGACTAAATTAGTATGAATCAAATAACATGTTAGTGCTAAGCTGGGTGATACAATTTATAACTACTGTAATGTTTGAAATTCCAGTTAATAGAGATGTAAAAACTATCTGATGCTAAATATTTGTATTTTGAAAGTCTAGTATCTCTACTGTATTTTCGGAACCTTCTACCACTGCTTGTCTAAGAGCCAACACTTCATAAATATTTGATGATGACTGAGTTAGAGCTGATTATATATTTAATATACTTACGAATTTAGATAATTCATGATTTGGGATAATTTCCTTAAATATCTTCTAATACATATCCAAATATCTAACTGCTACTCTAACTTGAGCTCAAGACTCATATATGAACCTCCTACTTGACGTATTAAAAGAGAATTTTTTTTTTCTTTTTTTTTAAAGTAGGCTCCATCCCTGGTGTGGAGCCCAACATGGGGCTTGAACTCATGCCCCAGAGATTTAGACCTGAGCTGAGATCAAGAGTTGGATGCTTTACCTACTGAGCCACCCACCAGGTGCCCCGAGAATTCTCTGATATCCTTCTCAAACTTACTTCTTCAGTCTTTCCTGTCTTATTATATATAATTCCACTTTTGTTGGTTGCTCAGGACTAAAACTTTAAGAATTCTTCTATCACACTTCTCCTTCCTTCACAGCTCACAATTAGTCCTTTAAGCAATCTTGTGGTTCTAAATGCAAAATATATTCAGGACCAGTCACTTCTCACCATTTCTACTCTTAGTACTTTTGACCAATTCAACAACATGTCTCACCCGCAGCACCAATGTAATACACTCAAACCTGGTCACTTGCTCCCCTACCCCTGAGTTTCCAGAGAGCATCACAGTGAGTTTTTACAAAGGTAGCCAGATCACGCTATGCCACTATCTGTTCTTTAAGCTTTACTGCCTTCTGAGGCTTAGGCTATTCCTTTGTAAGCTCTTCTTTTCCTGGAATACTGTACTCCCAAATATATGCATGACTGACCATCTCTTATTATTCACATATCTGCTCAAATGTTATCTGAACAACACTTCCTATAACTCTTTATTTACTTATCACTTAACATTGCATGCCAGCGTAGATATTTTCCCATCTGTGAGGCAGGGGCTCTGTTTTCCTCATTGCTATAGACCTAGGGCTTGGAACAGTAACTGGGAAGAGTTTGCATTCAATAAACATCCCATAAGGCAAATGGATACATTTCATTGTGTGTCAAAATAGAGCTGTGAGCTTCAAATGTCTTTATTTTAAATTATCTTTCACTGTTAATAGCCCACTATAAAGTTTTTTTCCCCCCTAGTAAAACAAACATATGAGGACATTAGTAAATGCAAGATGATGGCTCTCTGAAGTTTACTGTGTTTGGAGGACTTATCTAGGCAATGTTACCCAGAGAATAACTTTTCTAAATTATATCTGTGGTCTAATTACCTGTGTATTGAATTGAAAAACATCCCTCTAAAATTTATGTCCAACTACAAACTCAGAATGTGACCTTATTTGGAATCAGGGTCTTTGCAGATATAATTAAAAGGTGAATATGCTACGTTAGGGTGGCCCTCAATCTAATATGACCGATGTCCTCATAAGGGAGACATTTGGATAGAGGCACAGAGAGAGGGAAGAAGGCTGAGGGAGAGATTGCAGTTATCCTGCCACAGGCCAAGGAAGGCCACAGGCCATAGTTCACCCAAGCTGGAAGAAGCAAGGAAGGGTTCTTCCCTAGAAACTTTGAAGGATCTTAGCACTACTGTCACCTTGATTTCAGATTTCTAGCCTCCTGAAACATGACAGCATACAATTTTGTTGTTTTAAAGCACCTAGTTTGTGGTACTTTGCTATAGCAGCCTTAGGGTAACTATAAACTTTGATTCTCTTAGGCTCTTAGATATTGCCTCTGTTCAGTCTTGTCCAAGAAATGTAGTCCAGGGGCGCCTGGGTGGCTCAGTCATTAAGTGTCTGCCTTCGGCTCCGGTCATCCCAGGGTCCTAGGATGGAGCCCCATGTCGGGCTCCCTGCTCAGCTGGGAAGCCTGCTTCTCCCTTTCCCACTTCCCCTGCCTGTGTTCCCTCTCTCACTGTCAAATTAAAAAAAAAAAGAAAAAGAAATGTAGTCCATTTGGAGACTATTCATTAAGTACAGTGTTAAGATAACCCATTGTTTCAATACCTTGCTGGGTTTCCTGAAGTCCAATGTAGGACTTCTTGCCCATTTTATCTCCCTTGGAGATATGTGAGAGAATCTGGGAAGAAAACCTAGTGCTGGTATCCTGAGTCACTCCACAACAAGATGGGCTGCTGAACGTATAGGTCAAATATGTATGATTTAGTTTTATAGGGTGTATATTAAAAGCTGTTAACACAGAACCCCCTGATGAGGGACATGATTTTTCAAGCTGAAAAGGCCAACATGATATATGAAAATTGAGAGTCACATCAGAACACTAGAGTCTACATGCTTCCAGAGAGAGAACAAAATTACCAAAAAAAAAAAAAAAAAATAAAATCAGGAATCAAAGCTGGAGGTCAAAGACAACTGACTAAAAATATCTCTTGAACCTTTCTCCTTAGAAGGTAGTAGCTCCACTAAAATGAAGAAGGATACAAAGAATGAGGAATGTATGGGATAGAAGAAACGGGAGATATAGGCAGAAGGCAGTCTCAGGATGGTGACAAGGAGATTCAGAATACCTGGTGTAGTAAACACCTTTTTTTTTTTTTTTTTAGATTTTATTTATTTGAGAGAGCGAGCACGGGCGCATGAGTTGGGGGAGGGGCAAAAGAAGAGGGAGAAGCAGGCTCCTCCCTGAGCTCGGAGCTCAACATGGGGCTTGACCCCAGGACCCTGAGATCATGACCTGAGCTGAAGTGAGACGCTTAACCAATTGAGCCACCCACGCATCCCTGGTGTATTAAACATCTTGAGAGGAGACTTCAGTAACTGAAGAGCAGCTTGGTATTACACTAGAGAGAAACCAGGAAACTAACAAGGAAAAATAAACTATAGGAAATAGAAATATTGTGCAGAAAAGGAAAAATAATAATCACTCACTACATGACTTGTAGTCAAAATAACAGAATCACTAAATGTTCATCTAATCTAAATTTGACCCAAGTGCATTAGGAGGATGGAAGTGATAAGGAAGGTACATATATGACAGAGGGACTGGAAGAGGAGATATAAATTCTTATAAACCACCATAGGAAGTCAATAGTTAATACTTAAAATATATTAATATTGACATATTGATGTGTGGGGTAAATCCCCTGAAAACCAACTGAAGTTGAAAGTCAGGAAGCACTAATAGAGAACTGTCATTTTCACAAACAAGTCTTGTAGAAGTACTTGATTCTCAAAACTGGTGGTTGGCAAACTGACTCATGGGCCAGTTCTCACCTGCTGCCTGTTTTTTAAAATAAAGTTTCAGGAAACACAGTGAAATTCATTCATTTACATACCATCTATAGTTCTACTATGACCCGCGGCAGAGTTGAGTAGTCATGACAGAGAATGTATGGCCTGCAAAGCCTAAAATATTTATTATATAGAATTACTTTACAGAAAAAGTGTGACACCTGCTCTAATAATATGCAAGTAGAATCCTTGGTGGGGGTAAACTAAAAAATTAGGAAAAAATAAAAAATAAATTTTTAGCAGGTTCATGATGTTCTGAAGTTAAATTTAAAACAAAAACGGCACCCCTGGGTGGCTCAGTTGGTTGAGCGTCCGACTCTTGGTTTTGGCTCAGGTCATGATACTGGGGTCATGAGATCGAGCCCCGTGTTGGGTTTGGTGCTTCACTGGAGTCTGCTTGAGATTCTCTCCCACTCTCTCTCTACCCCTACCCTTCCTCACATGTGCTCTCTAAATAAATAAATAAAGTCTTAGAAAAAACAAAACGAAAACACTATCAGGACAGACTTTTGTTGCCAAATCAAAGCAACAAGGAATAGCCTTAAATACATTGACTGTTTTTCTTGAATGGTGACGTAATATGAGATTCTGGCTTAGTAGAGAAAATGTGGTATTCAGTGAAAAAGCAGAATGTTTTAATTGCCAGGACTTACTTATCTCAGTACACTTAAATGTAAAAACAATGACAACAGAACCAATTAGTTCTGAGAAATATACACACCCCAAGAGCCTACCCTCCCTCCACATTACAAGGGAAAAGAACCTCCAGCAGCAGCTGTTACTCTGTAACTGCTTCTTTCACTGTATTTCCACCCTGTAGCTACTAATAACTCACTTTAGAGATAATCCCCAATATATGAACATCTATATTTGTAAAACAGATAAATTAGAAAATAACTGTTCTAAGCGTGAGTTAATTTCACATTTTAGATAAGTTATGGGAATCCCAAATATTTTGGCTAAATGTGTTCATATAAAATTTTTCAAAAACATACCTACTATTGTTCCAAACCCCTGCTTTGACAACTTGCTAAAAGCTCTGATGAGCTGTGTATTCTTTTTTCCAGAGCTAATTACATCCCACCATCTTAGTTATAACAAGGTTTAGAAGACCATTGATAATACTTGCATGTTTATTGCTGACTTTAAGTAATAATTTGTTAAGAATCATTTTATCATCGAGTTTACTTAGCAATGCCCTGGAAGATATCCCAGAGT